TAAGGGTTAAGGGTTTGGGGGTTTAGGGTTTAGGGTTTAGGTCTTAAGGGTTTAGGGCTCAGGGGTCTCATGCTTAAGGGCTCTGGGGGACTTAGTAAGTAGGGTGATAATTGGGGTTGTAAGTCCCCCAGGCGGGTTTATCCTAAGTATAACCTGACTTGAAACCTTGCTTACTAAGTCCATTGGGCCTTAAGTAGGGTTTGGAGAGTCCTCTGGGCTTTGTTGCCGGATCATGCGCATTCACAGGCTCACAGATAGACTTTAACAAAGGAGCGATTTGCGGTAGGAACTCTACCTCTCAGTTGTGAACCTGCCGTACACCACTTGTAGCAGCCCCCAAAATCCTGTAGGCCAAACCCTAAACCCTAACCCCTAAACCGTGGCTCTTAAAACCAGAAACCCCGGAATGGGTAGCGCAGGGTAGTTCTCCAAATCAAAGTCCCTTTTAGGGGGTCCTTTTCGAAAAGGGTGCCGGCTTCGCTTGGGTGCCCCAAAAAGGGGAGCGGCCCTAATCTAGAGAACTGCGGTTGATGCTATACATCCTACATTACCCATAATAAGAAAATATATACCATAATGATTCCCATGGTTTAGTAAAGTCATGCAGGATTTATATCATGAACAGTATTTCGATCGGGTTGTCTCTTCACCGGACAGCCTGAACTAGTTCATGCTTGGGATCTGAATTAAAGACTCTTCCTTCTTGGGTTTAGGTGCCCATAAAGCTGAACAGTACCCTAAGCCCTGAGCCCAACTATGACGAAGCGAAGATCGCGCCTGCTGGCGCCACTCTGCGAGGCCGTTTTGGAAGTCCCGGAGCCCGGTTTAGGGGTTTTGGTGTTTTTTGGGGTTTAAAGGTTTATAGGGGGTTTAGGGGTTCGGGATTTCAGGGTTTGGGAGTTTCGATTTATGGTTTATTTAGGGGTTTTGTGTTTTTTGAGATTTGGGATTTTAAGATTTAGGAGTTTCGATATTTTTGACATTCACACTCGGACCAGCCAGGGAAGGCCTGCTGCGATACTAGTTTCGGTTTTAGGGTTCAGGGCCTAGGGATTTGTTAATGCAATTACGGTTTCCGGTTTCCGGGTTGCGGGTTAGGACTTCGAGGTTTAGGGTTCAACAACCCAACAGACACAGCGATCTCCTTGCATTAGGAGTACTTTTTTGTTGTGCGGGCTGCTTGGATTACGGATCCCCGGCTTTCGAGGCCTCTTACTTGGAGCTTCATGGATAGTTATAAGTGGGGTTATAAGTCCCGTAATATGGGTTATAGTTACAACTAGAGTTACCCTACCTGTAACCTTACTTCTAACTACCCATGAACCTCCAAGTATAGATGAACCCATGAACCTCGAGCTGGGGATCTCAGTGCATAGGGCCTCCCTCTGTCCAGACATACTAGTAAGTGACTAGTAGGGTATGCCACCAGGATTCCATGATCATACGGTATAAACACGATATAAACCTTAAAGCAGTAGGTAGCCGGATCCACAACAAAAAAAGCGCAGAACCTGGTGAAGCCATGTAAACCACAGAAAAGCCCTACACAACCCTAACATCACCCCCACCAAGGAAAAAGCCCGTGCAAAAACCTAGTAAAAGCCTGTAGAACCTTCTGAAACCCAAGAAAGAGCTTCTAAAACTAAGCTTCCGAACACCCTAAAACATCTTCAGTTGCAGGTCCCCTCTGTTCCGAAACATCCCAATGAAAGGTCGACGCGGGGTCTTGGGTCCTCGTCGTCCGTCTCCGGTGGCATAGGGTAGGCCTGTGAAATTTCGGGTTCGGACCAGGTAGACATGAGGGTTTATATTAATATCGCTGAAAGGGGGCGGGGTGGGGTTTAGGTTGAAGGTTGTTTTGGTTTTGAGTTTTGGAATGGATTTGGGTAAGTTTGGGGTTTAGGTGAGTTCAGAATGGTAATGCAAACCTGCTAGAAGCTTTAACCTTGACAGAGTTTCTGGGCCTGCTGCTGGAAGCATCGCGCATTGCTGCAAACTTATACTTCAATCATGCTCGAGGACGCAAGGCAAGAACTTCTAAATCCGTGGACACAATTCAGCCACCTCGCTATTGCAACGCCCATGTTGTAATGCAAGGCCGAAATGCTTGGCACAAGCTCTTCCTGCATCTCCACATGCGACAACATAGCAGTGCTATGACCCCACATAGAGCCCTTAATCCTTACCTTCAGACAACAGGCCCGGAAGATTCTCAAGTGGGAGACTTTGCGCCATCACAAAATATACTGTAGGACTACAACCCGACCGAATAACTACCCTGGAGTTTCGGAGATATCACTCTATATACCTTGAGTTGCACTAGGAAACACATCTTGGGATTCTGAGACAATTACAAGCCGTGCATGCTCCCCCCCTCCCCTCTTATGCTGCAGCGCTCCTTCTCAATGTTCCTCATTCGGGTGGACTTGATGTCGAAGGCGGAGGCGACTATGCAAATGACGCCGAGGATGCAGGACACATAGCCCGTCTGAGTCGATTTTCGTCAAACGGAAAAGATGTCAAAACAAAGGTTTAAGGTTTGTTGGTGCTAAACTGCTAAAAATGGGGCTGACAAAATCAGTAAGCAGGAAATACCCTCTCGCAATTCAACCTCAAACTCTAAAGGACTCGCCAGATGAGGTTCATGGTTCGCCTTCGGCAAAAGAGAACCAACCAATTAACCAGTCGCACACGCACACACACACACACACTCACAAGAAAGAAAGGAGTTTGACTTCGGGGCTGCTTGGTGGAGTGTTCATGGTTACATGATGACCGCACGATGCTGCGAGACGCCATCGGTAAGGCGGGACGTGTCACGCAGCATGTGCTACCGGACTTTCAGCGGCCACCGCCGAGTTTGGCAGCACACATACAGAAATGTGATTTTGCTGTGTGAGATGAGGACTCACTTCCTCCTCCTATTTATGCTTGACAGAAATACTCCGAAACTCGACACCAGCAGCCTGGCGCGGTTCTCCGATGTATAAATGGGACTATGCCTCCCTGAGCAGGGCATTCATAAACGGACACACAACAACTTGAAGACCCTTGGTAAACCCTGAAGAGTGCATCCAGTCCCCAAGAGCCAAACCCTCATCCGAGGCCTTTAGACCAACCCTTTAAGCCTAGCAAGCCTGAAAGTCGTTAAAAGTACGCCCCAAGACGAATAAACCCCTCCACACAATAAGGGTTACAAGGTTATAAGTTACTTGGAGGTTCATGGGTAGTTATAAGTGGGGTTAGAAGTAAGGTAACTGCAGTTACAACCCATATTAGGGTGCTTATAACCATACTTATAACTACCCATGAACCTCCAAGTATAACCGGGATCCGACGACCAAGGCCTTCAAACAAAGGGGGATCATTGTTCGTATGCATAGCCCTCTTGTCGCCGCCGGGTATCCACAACACCCAGCTTGCCACAGTAGCCGAAGTCACCGACAAAGCCCTGGACGATGAGCCAAATGCCGTACTGCCTGGGCTTCAGGGTGTGTAAGCTTGTAAGCCTTGGTTTAGAGGCTTAGTGCTCAGGTAGGTGGTGGGTGTCTTTGGGAGTTTATGGCTTTGAAAGTTCAGGGTTCTTACTTGGAGGCTCAGGGGACCCCACTGCATCTCACAAGTAATTAGGCTGCGAAAGGAGTTTTGCATTCCCTACCACTTGTGGACATCCTGCTTAAAACTCAATCCCGAGGCATGAAGTAGCAGTAGCAAAGCCCTCTGAATTAAACCCGTTCCGTGATCCTTCCAGTTAAGTTGAAGGTCTAGCCGGTTCGAGCACAAGCTGATAGTCTAATGTAGCACAATCTACAACCCTAAACCCTGAACCCTTAACCCTAAACCCTAGTAATTACAATATGCTTTATCATATTAATTTAATATAGTACAATGAAATGAAAATTATAGTCTTGCGGTTTTGGGGCTCAGGCCTCAATTCGGGTTTGGGCACGACGGCTACTACGACTCCGACCGGACGAAGATCCTTAACTCTTTGGGTAGTTCTCTAAGTCAGGGTCCCTTGTAGGGTCCCTATTATAAGGGTGCCGCCTTCTGTTTGGCTTCCTAAAAAGGGCTCCAGTTTAGAGAACCACCACTTTGCTGATGCTCACAGCTTACAAAGAGAGCGATTGCAGCTCTGTCGACACGACATTCTGACTGCTCGTCAGCTATTGGAAGACATCGCACAAAGGCAGGCATTACGAGTAGCAGTGGCGTGATGGAGGAAAGTCGTTTTGGAGCCAAGCTGCAGCATGTTTCGTGGAAAGCCGACAACCTGTGCTGGAATCGGGTTTCGCGGTGCTAGGTCACAAGGTGTGCAGTGCAGAAGCAGAAACCTGGCGAAAGCAGTAACAGCCATCGCCGTCGCTGTGGCAGAGCGCTGCACAAGCTACTACACATTTTGTTGAAATAATAGCTATCGGCAATTGACCCAAAGATTGTATATGTGTAGCAGTGGTGGCCACTGCCGTCTGTGTCGAAGGCAGATGCAAAACTGAAAGTCGTGCTAGACCAAATCACAAGGTGATAAATTAATGAAACAATGCCCGTGGACGGCTGCAGGAACAGCTTGCAACCAATCCGAGCTCATCGCTGCAACAATACCAGTGAACAGCGCTAAACATGTGCAGGCAGTTGATCTGACAAAAGAACGACGACATTCTAGATGCAATCCAAGACAAGGTCATGTAAACGACAACGGGAATGCCGCTGAGTGCCATTGCGGGCAGAATGTGTATGACGACATGGAAAGCGGTGGCCCAAGATGGGCTACTGCACAAAGAGCCGTAGCTCTACGTAGACCCTCGAAACACCCTCAGGCTTCCGATCCCGGGTTTACGCCTTCGGGTTGAACGTCAGGAATTATATAGGCTCCCGCATCACCACAGCAAGCACGGCTTTAAGAGTGTAGGTGCAAGGCTGGGTGTTAAAGAGTTGATATCGAAGGAGGCCTGCACGTCAAGGGTCTCTGTAGACATGCAAAAACGAATCGAGTACTTGACAAGGGGTGCGCCTACTAGTTGGATCTGAGCAACTTACAACCGAACCATGGGTCCTATAAACCCTACAGTAACCCTGACATCTCTGCCTCCGTCCTGCTGACTCGACCCAACCCCACCTCGAGGGTCTGCGGCTGATACATCGCCACACCGACGATTCCGATGATCAGCGCGGTGTAGTTGGGCAGGGCGGTCATGCCCCAGCTGGTCTGCCACCTAGCAGGCAATCTGTTCGAAAGCATCAGGCTACTTGTAGGTAGGCTAAATGAGTGGAATTCCGAGTTCAGAAGTTACCAGACAAGTCTAGTAAAACTCTGCACAGAGGCCCCACACAGCCTATCCAAACTTGGTACCGTTTCGTAGAAAGTCCTGTGGATTGGATCCCCTAGTCGCAGACCTTGTTGTGCTGGGGTTTAAGCCTCGGGTTTGAAGTCGTTTCGGGATTTGAAAGTCTCAGCATAGGCGCAGTTAGGAGGTCCCAGTCCAAATTCGCCTCCTGAGGGGGGGTCTCTGATGAGAAAGACCGCAGGTTGGGACGCAGCTTTGAGCGATTACGTGTCTTTTTTGCAGTGGGGTTGAGGCGGTGCGGACTCTTGGATTCAGGGATCCCCTCTACGATTCACTTAGGACTTAGGATCGCAGCATCCCGAACAAGTCTGGGGGACGAGAATGAGCAGACACAGGTACTCTCTAGACTGCTAGAGGAGAACTTCGGGCATCCCTGGTCTAGGACTCTGAGCTGTGAGAAGATCTCATTGCAGCATGGCTTGCCATGGCTAGACGCAAACACGAAGAGGGTTGAGGGCTCAGGGCATACCGATAGCCTCATGACACTGTGACTCAAGCAAGGATTCCGATCTGCAGCTCGGGCACTTCTGGTTGCAATCGACCCACAGAGTGTACTCATCTGGGTTCGACCATGGGCAGTCATGCCACCTTTCTGCAACGTGGCTTGCGCAACGAGCTTTGTCTTAAAAAACCTGAAACCCGAAGCGCCCCCAAAAAACGAGTGCTTGGGGTTGGACACCAAATCCAACTGTCTAGCTGAACTCCTAAGCCGCACGCCCTGAGCACCCGAGCTTTTAACCTTAAACCGTGCGGCCTGTAAACTCTGCCGCGACAGCTCGGGCTTCCAGAACTATGCGCTTCACGGCTGAAGGCTGCTAGATGAAGATCCGAGCTACTGCTACCAGGTGCTCATATGGATGCATGATGAGGCAGAGGTACACTAATGTACACTAGAAACGTGAGCGTTTTATCTACGACGGTGTTCGAGTATATCCATCTCTTCTCATAGTGAACAGGAGCCTCGCAAATCCTTCAGGGTTCTTATGCGTAACATTCCGGATCCAGAAGCGCAATCGCAACTCGGGTATCCTTGCCCCTTCCTGCCTCTCCGACTCTCCGTGTCTGTCTTTCTCTGTCTCTCTCTCCCTCTCTCTTTCTCCGTTCCCCAAGTTGTCCCTCTCTCACCACCTGAAGTCTGCAAGCAACTTCCGGAATGAACATCTCTCCCGATGACAGGCACCACTTGCAGTAAGGGGTGGCTCTTTAGCTGGAGCGACAGGTATGGAAATTCCAGTAATGATTGGACAAGAACACTTCTATAAGTCTAGCCTCCTCAACCATAAACTCGCGTCTGCCTACCCCAACCAGAAAAATCAGGTTCTCATGCAACCAGGGGGAAATCCAAGATTCATAACTCACAGTTGCTTGTAGGACATGGGATCTCCAAACCTTGAAAAATGCCATATAAAACTACCTGAAAACATACGTTTCATTAACAAGTGAGTGGAGTAACCCTAAAAGCTACATACTAACCCGCAAGCTACACCCTACACATTAAAGCCTATAAGGTCAACCAGGAAGCTTCCACTCGAAGGAAGGAGGCTTGGCCCAGGCGTAGATAAGGCCAATAATAACGGTCATAACCTTGTTGGAGGGGCTTCCTGTCGGGGTCGGAAGAATTGCAAATATTACTCTATAGGGGTTCTCTTAGGGCACGTGCCCCTGGCCCGTTCTTTTTTAAAGGTTCGCGGCCGCTCTGTTGTGGTGTTAGATTTACTGCCGCTTCGGGCTTGTACGGCTTGGGATTCTTCCTTTGGAGATGTGCTGGGCTTTGCCAGGACCCTACGGAACCTACCATTCAGAGTTACAGTGCCTGTGCTCTCATTGGTCAGGTACTCTGACAAGTTCAAATGCTCGTGACAGACTGTCCTATTAAAAGGCTACGACGGCTACGCGTATTTGGCTTCGATGTTAGGGAGGGAAAAGTGAGGGTTTGTACTCTCACTGTCGAACAATCCGGGCGAGGCCTCCAGAAGTTCTGCTAGAAGCAGTTCCCTGTAGGGTTTAAGTGAAGAGTGTACAGGAATTTCCGGGTGTTTCATCTGCGAACAAGCTATCGCCGACTGCGCCCTGAACCCCAAACCATAAAGAACCCTAAATACCGCTAAACCCTAAACCATGAAACCCGTAGTTTAAGTGCTCGTGAAGCTTCGGCGCAACAATGTGGAGAAAGATGGAGAAAGAAAGGACTCTTCTCCGCAGAGTGAACATGACTTTGTGGCGTGACAAGAATGACTACTAAAAGCGGGCGTTAATTACGAATCCTTCCAACCGGTAGGTTAAGAAGCTTTTCGTCAAGCCCACTTGCTTACTTGTTACTTCCTGGAAAAAAGCATCAATGGGACCCGAGCTGTAGAGAAATCGACACCGGAAATGGCTGATGAGCATAGCAGCGGATACCAATGTGCCGGCAATTGCCAAGAAGTCTCCCGTGGCGTACCTTCAACACCGAGCTCAGGTTTTATATTCTTGGAGTTCTCCGTCGTCCATATACAGGGAAACACCCGCACACACTCGGACTTGGCGTTGCCGTACCCCTCCCTTCTCCCAACCCTCCAATCAACAAAATAAGAAAAAATCCAGAGTGTCCAGCCACCGCTTCAGTATGGCAGTACGGACCATGACCATTCTCACAATCGCTATTGCTTGTGGACTATGGCCCATATGCGCCTATTTTCATCATTGTTACAATTATGCCCATGCATGCCACTATTGCTGAACACCTGGCACAAAGGATCTGATGCACGGAACGCATGCACAACAGACATTTCCGGGCCCAGCAACTGCAGGGCCGCCATAACATCATCAGGGCTTAAGGCTTAACAAGATCCCACTCCCGAATCCCAAAAGTTAAATGATGCTGTAAGGCTACGTAGTTGGCAAAGCATGCCCCACCAAAACTTCTACACCAAGCTCAAGGTTTGGGCATCCGGTGACGTTGTTACTTCCCTTGCGAAAAACCCCGAAGAAAGGAGCTCCCAACTCCCGAAAATGCGTCAGAGTCGCTTTTTTGCCATGGTTTTTCTGAAAGAGGTGGGAGAGGCCGAGGAAAATTGCGGGACTTGCTGCTCCTTCTCTCTGGCTGAAGCTCCAAATGGCAGCGGAGCTAGATGAAAGTAGTTGGTTCCGACTCTGACATTCGTTTCACGTTGCTGGTTACCCCGTTTTGGGACTACACCTAGTCGTGCCAAAAAATCGTGAATGCACGTGATGGCTTGCGAAGTCCAAATCTCTTTAGATCCTTCTTCCCAGAATCTCACCAAAAATCGAAATGCAGATGGATGTATGTGGGATGGGATTCGACTGTGGGCACTGCATCTGAGCACCCTAAGCCTTAAAACCCTACAGTACCCCGAGAGACCCTCCAGAACCCTCAGAGACATCTGAGCCCGAAAGACAACGACACAGAAACCAAAGCCCTACAAACTTAATTCCCCATTAGGGGCATTAAGTATTTTTGGGGTATATTGTAGGTTCATTATACCAGGACTACAGCTGCAACAGGAAACAAGTAATATCTATTCTGGCCTCTATCGCAAGCCCTAAAGGCAACCTATGTTAACAACAGTAAACAACAAACTCTATGGTCCTGTAGAGCGCTCTAAAACCCTACCAAACCTCCAAGATTAAGCCCGGACCTTGCCCTGAACCTAAACCCCAAACGCCTGAACCCTACACCGAAAAACCTAACTCAAAGCCCTAAACTCCTGAACCCCAAACCAAAAAAACCCAACTTAAAGCCCTGAGCCCCTAAACCCAAAACCCAAAAACCTAACTCAAAGTCCTAAACTCCGAGACCCAAAACCAAAAACCTAACTCAACGCCCTAAACTCCTAAACCCCAAAACCCAACTCAAAGCCGTAAACTCCTAAACCCCCAAACCCGAAAACCTAACTCAAAGCCCTGAATTCCTAAACCCAAAACCAAAAACTTACTCAAAGCCCTAAACTCCTAAACCCAAAAACCCAACTCAAAGCCCTAAACTCCTAAACCCCTAGACCCAAAACCAAAACTCCTAAACTTATAAACCCCTGAACTCCTAGACCCAAAACCCAAAACCTAAGCCTTGAACCTAAGGCCCTAGGCCAGCCACGGGAGGCCGGTCAGATCCCTGAGACTGACGCTGGTCGGGCTGCGATGGCTCGGCCTTCACAGGTCTTTTGGGCAGTTTCCAAAGAAATGCTCTGAGGGTCTATAGGGTTTAGGGTGTATAGGGTTTAGGGCTTTGGGGTTTTGGGGTTTAGGGTTTAGGGGTTTCGACTCACAGACTCGCACAATGCTGGCATGGCTGGCGAAGGTCCTAGGGTTTAGGGGTTTAGGGTTTAGGGGTTTAGGGGGTTCAGGGTTTAGGGCACTCTTAGGTTGGGGCTTCAGGGGTCTACGGTTTCGGCGCTGTCACGCTCGGACAAGCCCGGTGCATAGACGGTTTTTTTGACGCTCGCATTCGGACAAGCCTGGCAACGCATACGGTCTAGGGTTCTGGGTTTCGGGACTGAAATACATTACTATAATGTCGCTGTGCTCTGCTGTTGTGCGGATCTTGAGCGAGTCACACCCATGGATAGCGCAAGGGGCAGTACATGAGTTCGATGACAACTTGTCCACAAGCATAGACGAGCATCTACAGCATGGCGCTGGTTGCTGATGTGTCATGTTCCATCTGATCGAAGTCTTACGGCATAAATCTGACCCAGGAATACAAGCACTGAGTCTCCTAGGCATCCCTTGATCCGTATGAAAGCCCCTATATAATTCTCCCCCAATCCTAAACCCGAACCACCTCAATACTTTGCTGGACCCAAAGCTCTTTCTCGTTCTTGTTGTCTCCATGTGGTCCTTGCCGGAGCGGCCCGACATCTTATAGGAATAAACACCCGACAAGAAGACACGCTTACTACTCTGAGATTTCATGCCAACAGGCCTTGGGCACACAGGCACACAAGAGCCTTTTCTGCAGCGGGCCTGCGGGCCTAAATGAGTATATCCCTGCCAGGCGGTATCGCATTCCTGTCTTTACTTAACTTTTCGTGCATGGAACTCTGTGCTTTCCTACCATTTCCGGGGTGATTCAGGGGGGGTACCAAAACCTTGCGCTTCGGCCTCTGTTCCCTGCGGTCCCTTCTCGTTCAGCTGCGCGGCAGCCTGAGGCAGTTAGGCCCGGCTAGGCGCTTGGGCAAGGTGTATTCTTTCATACTTCTCGCATGCTACCTTGCAAAAGCTAAAGCATGTGCCGCAGGTGGCTCTTCTCTGTCTTTCTGACCTGGCTTTGGTTGTCAGCAATTAAGCAAGGCTGTCTGAGATCCGGGCTGCCAGAAGGATCGTTTTCAGCGCGCTGGACTCGACGTTCACGGCACTTTCTCCTGCGAGCGTCTTCCGGCACCAGCAAGAACTTACTGCAGTTGTAGCAGCCCCTGTGTGGAAGAGTCGCCTCTGGAGTCTCCAAGAATGCTTCCTGAACTCGCATGGGGTTGAGCCGAGCCAGTGAGAGGCCCTGGCCATCGGGTTACAGCTTTGTCAATGATTCGGAAACCGGACCAGCAATACGAAACCCACAACATCCAAAGACCGGGTCCTTTGCCATTGTAGAATGCTGCCCGAACGGTGCTGTAGGCCTCAAGGTATCGCACACTTCCGGGGCGGACACTTTGTGATGTTACAGCGATGTCCATTTCATCTCAAGCGTCCACAACTGAGAACTGTGAGGAAACTTCTGATATACCTTCCAGCTTTGTGCAAATGCTCCCGAAGGAGATGCTTCCGAACCATGCGCAGCATCACCCTAGGCCCGTAAGCACCTGAAGGTGCACCGCCATAAATGGTTTGACATGAGCAGAGACCAGAATGCAAAACAACACAGCAAGGAGTCGTGCCTTCTTGAGGTTGGATTGCACTTCACCTCACAGAGCGTCGGCTCCAAATCGCTCGCGCATATTCGGCATTTCGCGAATACTACCACCAGAACATGAAAACAGAGGGCCGAAGAAAGACGGCTGCCTCCACTTCCCGAAGCCATGGGGAGACGCACCAGAGGGTAACTAATGAGCAGCTATCGAGCATATAGGATCTTTCCCTAGATACGAAACCCTTTGATCCAGAGTGGTCTGCTCTTCAAACTCACGGTGAAGGCTGCTTTCGCAAGCCGATCTCTATTTGCCACATTCACGGCAGATCCATGCATGGGCTGGAGCCATCAGGGCAAGTCAGTCGAAGAGTGTGCTAGCCTAAGTCCTGTACCATTTGCATCAACTGGGGCTTGCCAACCTATGCCATGTCAGCGGCTGATATTGCCTGATGCAGATACCCTGCAGACGAACACGCATTGCGAACAACTCGAGCATATCGTCATACTTAATATGGCTTAGCGGCTGTCTCTAACGGTAACTCTTTACATGGCTCCCCGCCACAAAACTCAGACGGATATCAACGTTAAGCACACAACAAAACTTATCCCAGGGACAAAAACAAGAGCTACCAGCCACAAAGGTAACAGGCACCAGCCACCAAATGACATGTAGCAGCCGCAAAAAAGATACTTACGTATCCCAGGCATTTCCTGTTTCCGGGTCTGTGTCGAAGCTTCGGGGGGCCAGCTTTGGGGGCTCCACGAACCCCGGGCGGGGGTTCTTGAACTCTCGTTTCTATGACTCTTGTACCTATAAAGTAGTTGGATCTGTCACTCGTAAATCGACAGCTATTTGACAGGTCTCCGGGCACCTAGCTGCCAGGCTGCTGTCCTTGCTAAGGAAGTGAGACCCCAAAACTGGCCTCCAAAGTCCCTGCAGAGACCCGGAAACAGGAAATTGAAATGTTGGATCTGGGATAAGTGTTTTTTGTTGTGTGGCTAATGTGTGCTATTTTTGTAGAATTAGCTGATACAATTTACTTTTGTGGTTGTGTAACTCTTTGCTTTGCCTGGTCAGTTACTGTGGGAAGCGATCCCTAGGCCCTAGGCCGGTCTGGAAGATCTAATCTTGACTTGTCTCGCAGCCGCACAACTGTGCAAACCCCAGGGGGGCACGACAAAGTTCCAGATAAGATTGAAATTTCGCACAAAACCGAGGGTGGGGACCAACATCTGGGGCCGCAACCAGGTTGTCGTATTGGAGCATATGGGAACTGTATCCACTGAGTAACCGGCTGTGTACCTATTTCTTAGCTCATGTCAAGAACTTGCGAAGCGAAATAACTCCGTGCAAGGCCGGTCTTGATAATGGAAAACCAACAAATATGGATCCCTGCAGATGCGGTCGAAGTGTTCCACATGTGCCACTCGCCATTCGTCGTCCTCAATCTGGTGTAGCATCGTCTAACACGTTTGAAGGTGAAGGCGGTCTTTCATGGATACCATGTAGCTACGTAAGCGGACTGCCACTCCACTAACTCAGCAGTTTCAAGTCTGCACTTCGGCATGCACCTATGCAAGCAAGATCGGGGTCTTTGTCGAACTTGTTTCACTAGCCGCTTTGTGCAAACAAGTCGAATATCGTGTGGATCTCGAAACAGACGCTCACGGCTATTCTACACAAGTTCCGACAACCCTTGTACGAACCTGCACAACCAGTATTCGAGCGCGAAATGCCGGAGTGCCGCCAATCAGTACATCATTAGCCCAGCACCACTTCGAAAGAAGCCTGCAGGCATTACGCAGCGTCCGTGCGAAATACTGGGGTAGTCAGATACTGTGCAATGTAAGAGGCAACAACAGAATTATTCAATAGCTGCTTCTGTAGCACTTCTGGCAGCAGCAGGAATCTTCTCCTTTGTGTCCCGATCCAGTCGTTGAGCGGTCTCTCCTTCAGGACGCTGACACGCGGCATTCTTTGGGCTTGCTCGACGAATCGCATCAACTGTATCCGACGCTCGTGCCAATAATTGCTCCTCACACCAATCCCGTCGGCGCTGCCTTCCCATGATTCAATCCTGCTTGTAACCAAAGGATGCAACTCTTTCAAGGTTTTGAGTCTGGATGGGGTTATATGCGTCGAGCCTAGCTTGATTCCTGCCAGGAAATTTTGAAGGCGGCGCTCCAGGTCCGCATGGCTCGTTGACCTTGCAGTCGAATTCGGCAAACGGTCGTGCTTCTGAACGAAATCCTTAAGCATTTTGCATCGCTTCAGGAAGGTGACATCCTGCCCAAGCCACTCTCGAACACGCGTGCGCAGTAGATCCGAGGTGCAGTTCAGCAACTTTTGAACTCGGCCGGGGTCCACGTGTTGTTGCCGGACTCGATACCCAACGTTACACAACCAAAGACCTAGCGCCTTCTCCTGCAACTTTTTGCTGCTTTGCACGGGAAGCCTGCCGTTCTCAGCAACAAAATCTTCGACAGCTTCAAGGCGAAGTTGCCAATGATCCGCCTGACGCAGGCAGACTTCAAGGTCGGGCAGCACGTCTTTTGCAATAGAAGCCAGGTTGGTTTCTCCTTTGATGGTTCTGGCATCAGCAATCCACAATCGTGCTCCCAACGGCTGTGCAAGAAGCCGGCTATCAGCCTCTCCTAGCACTACCATGAAACGTTCCAGCTGTGTGTCGTAGCGCTCATCTGACATCATTCGCATCGCCGGTCGAACCCTCTTCTGGATGCGTTTCGAAGGATCGGCTTGGGCACGGCCAGCCATCATCTCGGTCTTTAGCGGTGCAGTCCCCGGCTTCCTCAGTGGTGCTGGGCCTTGACCCTGGCGTTCGCTGGGACAGCTGGCTTGTTGTGATTCCAGCACTTGTGGCGTGCTCTGACCACCCTTGTCGCTCGAGCCACCGAAGTCTCTGGCACAGGATGGGCCACAATCTGCAGTGTGCGTGAGGTCACGAACAGCAGCAATGCAACCAGCCCTTCCAGCTGGTCGAGAATGCAACCAATCCTGTTCATCTTTCTGGTGTTGCTGCCTACTCTGCTGCTCAGGCACTCGGGACGTCCTGGCATGTCCGGCTGAAGACTGCAGCGATTCGTTTCTCTTATTCAGGTTCCGATTCTCGTGCGCGGGTTGCTGCGAAATCACTGATTGGGGACTACTGGAAGTATGATCAATCATGACTGCCACGGAAGGCAACACGATGTGAGCCAACGGCTTGGTCAGGCTGTGGCGCAGCACTCGCCCAATGGCCTGAATGATGCTGGTATAGCTTCGTCGCGGCTCGACGAACATGCACGTGTCCGCATTTGGGATGTTCACGCCCTCCCCTAGCACCTGCACAGTCACGAGAATATGAACAGGCTTCTGCAAGGGACCTGTGAACGCGGCCAGAATGTCCTGACGAACGCGCAGCGGCGTGTTTGCATTCATGTGCCATGCCGCCATACCCAAAGACTTCAACAACTGCTGGAAGCGCTGTGCTTCTCGCACAGAGTTGCAATAAGCGAGCACTCGCCTGAAGCGCCCGGCTTGAGACCCAAGCAACTGTGCCAAGCAGAGGAAGGGGTCGCCTTTGCTCGTCACTGGCACTGTGAGGTCGTAGTCGCACAGCACCCCGTCTTCGATCGCCTGACTCATTGTGTACTGAAAGTCTGCCGTCTCGTCGTGCGTGGCAGAGAATTTGTATGTTTCACGTCCACAGGGCATCCCCAGCGGGATGGGGTGGTGTGCTTCGTCTATGAAAATGTTGCTGAAACTGATGTTCTGCAGCCGGTGCACGGAGTCTGCAACCGAGACAAATCCCCGTGAGCTGAAGTTGATGTTCTTGTTGTACCCCATGCCCACTTTGCAGAATGTGGGGAAAGCCGTTGCAAACTGCTCCAGCAAGACTCGTGAAGGCACGGTCACCAGCACCTGCAAGGCGCTCTCAACAAAAACACGACGCTTGATTGCCAACTCTATCGAGTTCTTACCGCTGGCAAGGCAACTTTCGTACGCTCAAACCAATCGTCGAGGTGCTCTGCCAAGCACACTCCGAGCAAGCTCTTGGATGATCCGCGTCTTTCCGGTTCCACAGGCTAGCTCGAGGGTGCGAGCTCCCTTGGCACATGCTTCCAGGCAGTCCATCTGGCAATGGCGCAGTGGTGGGTCAGCCGGGGACTCCGTGGCAAGATCTACCGAGGCAACTGTTTCAAGAGGCGACTTGCTAAATGCCTTGCGTTGGGCCCGATACTGTCGGAGCCATCTTTTTGTGCTTGCCCCCAGCTTGCATCCTCTGTTCGTCACCACGGTGTAGTTGACTGCCTGAACATGTCAATTTAGTCTCCATCAAGTCTACACGCTCTTGTTGCCGACACCATGTTTGGGTGAATGCCGCTACTCCAACCCGAATACGAAATCACACGTTCTAGCCGGCCTTGCAAACATGTCGTGCGGTTCGGAGGAAGCGCTTGACTTCACCATGGCAAACCTCTGCACTGTCGCTGCAAAAAACCGCTCGGAGGCCGTCGAGGCTGAGCAGGTCAACCCCTGCGTCGTACGACTGAGGCTTTAGAGATTTATACGGGGTGTATTGTGGCCTTTGGCATTACGACGGTTTCGTGGCTCGAAAGGTTTGCGGGTCTTAGGGCTTTTAAAATTCAGGGCTATGGATATCTCATATATCCCAATCCCAGCCCGGAAACCACACCGCTTGAAATGAACAACTATGGCCATGCTTGGTCGCATCTTGTCAAGCGAGGATATGCCCATCCTGCCTAGTCTTCTTCGGGTGAGGTTCCGCCGTTCCAGGAACCATGGCGGTAGATCCTGCATCGTGATGTGGGCTGAGCTGAACAATTTCAGGCCGTAGAGCTCCGTCTATGCAAATAACTAGAACTCCTGTGTGCGAGCGGCACGTGAAGATTGATGAAGGCAGATCGAAGATCGAAACTGGCGATACCACTTCAGTCATTGGCCAAGCTTCATCCCCGATGGTCCTGCGTCGGCACGACATTGAATTCCAGAACTGCAGCCCAGATAAGACGCTGCCGATCCTCCAGAAACCGCCAAGCCAGGGCCTCCCTGGCCAGGGTACGCAAGCGCTCCATGAAGGCCGCATCCCGGCCTTGCACGAAAGAAAACCAAAACTGAACTGTGGATGTGCTTACACAGTGCTCACCTTCGCTTGACCACGGCGGGGTCAGGACCAGGACACCTACAAGCCTAAGTGCGCTATGCAGGTGCCTACCAGCAAATGATACTGTGCCCCAAAAAATCATGCGCCACTATGCACCCCCCAACATAAAAAGCAGAACAAATTTGGTCCAAGGATCTCAGTTCAGCCTCTGTGAGGATTCTTAGACCGCTCTGTGCTGAAGAGGTGGAGCGCCCGACAGTCCTTCGCAACATGCAGATCTGCGAACCGCCACCGGCACATCTTTTCACAAAGCATAGAATGCCATAGAACTTCTTAGCAACCTGCACTCCCTCGGAGGTTGTCGACAGCTGGACAAAATGCAAACAACCCTGGGCTGTTGCAGCAGTGCGAAGCCTGTTGTGCAGGATCTAGAATGCCTGGAAGTGAAATGCCCTACAGTATATTTTAAGCAATCCTCTCGTGGCTGGCGTGGTATGCTGCTAAGAACAAATCAAACGGCAATATTTCTGAACTCGTTGCCCCCGTGCCTGCAGATGCGCCCTGCCCACGATCCACCAATCCAGTTCCAGTCTCCAGAGCATAGGCCGCAGCAGAGCCAAGTCCAGGTTGACGCAAGGAGGAGCCGCATCCATCCTTTCACCTGAATGTGCAGGATCTTCAGTCTTAGGCCCCAAAACAAGCTGATAAACCGAAGTGAACCATGCATGGACCACTTCCTTCGACATCTTCCGAACGACGTAGCGCTATAAGAAAAACCCAACACTAGTCTCCGTATGCCTTCCGCGCGGTTCGGAGAGCTCTGTTCCTCCCTGTGGCTGACATTCAACGTCTCGCGCACCCCCTGCCGGGCAGCACAATACAGTGCGCATTTCCGCACCGGATTCCTGACGAAAGGTCTATAATACTAAGCTTCCGGAAGCCCAAGCCGCGGCGCATATGACATCACAATGTGCCTCCCCTTCCACATCAAGCTGTTCAGCTTGCGTGACTTGCGTGATTCCTCTCCAAAATCCTGCATGTTGCTTACGAAACAACAATCGCATTGCAGGATTGCTTCACCCCCCCCAAAGAACTTCAAGCTTCCCTTTAACCCTGCGCAGCGATGGTTCCAGCCGCTTTTTGCCATGCAATGCGGATTGATTAGGACATTCATTGGCAGTGCAAGCCAGTGGGCATGGTTTAGCCCCGCCATCTTGTGCTGCAGTGAGGGCCACGCGCCCTCTTGAACGTGAGATACTGTGAGCTTCCTACCAGGCTCAGCTTGGGAGATTCGGGCTTCGGGGTTTGGGGCTTCAGAGTAACTGAGTATGGCTAAGGTGTAGCTCCAGTTTTCCAAGCTTGGAGCAAGAGCTCGTCATGTGCATGCGGCACCGTCTCCAGTCGGTCATCGGAATATACATCTGTGTGTGGGTCGGGTGTAGGTCACCTTCAAAAGTGAATAGTGTAAACATATGCATACCGGAAGTTTTCGAGACTGAAGCCGTCCGCCCTGTCGGCTGACGAGCTCTTCATATACCAGCTCTTCGCTGACTACTCGAACTTGTCCTCTCTCCTTGGTCTTCATGAAAACTTTTCTGCCAGCTACGGCTTGCCAAGGCGAGAGATGGAAGCAGCACGGCACTCTGAGCCCACCACTTCCCAGTGATTTTTCGATGGGCGAACTCCATGCACCTGCAAAACGTAAATGCACGCTGTATAACTTTTAACTTCTACTTACGGCTGAGTGTACGAAGAGCGAGTAGGTCAAAGGAGCTGGCAGTCTTATGTCTCAGGCCTCTACCTTTAAGCATGAGCATGATCGCAAACTGCCACAGCCGGGTTCACGCCTGATGAGCAGCAAGGCCGCAATGAAGACAATCGCTAGACTGCCACACGCAATGAGAATCACCAGGATCCCTGGCATGGCTCTCTCAGGAGGTGGTGAGTATAAGGGAGATTCGTTCTTCTGGGGCGTCTGTGTACAAGAAGGTCCTGACAAAAGTACAAGCCTACAGCCACCGAAACCTCCGTCTGTGGTCCAGGGCTGAAACACATAGGCCTCTAATCTAAGCCCTAGTACATCGTCCGGCCGTGAAGAGCAGATGTAGATTGAAGCCTCCTAGCATGAGCTTGTCGGCCACGGGCACACGACCCTCGATGAATTCCGGAAGATTCCAAGCATGTCTGTGCGCTTTACGCTTGTCATACTTGTCTGTGCACCAAAGCTCGGCTGCCCCAGGACCAAAATCCGGGGCTCCGGGCCTGACGGCTTTCCTTGGCTCGGGCCCAGTTTAGGGTTTAGGGTCGTCGATTTGCCGCTGCTTGTTATTGTTCCTACGACGTTGATGGCCTTTCTTCTGACACGCCCCAGGATGAGACAAACCGAACCAGGAGCAGCATGAAGCTCTCAATGACTCGTCTGATCATATCCCGTGAAAACAGCACTGGACAGCACAGGAGTCATCTGTCCGTGACCTTGCAGCCACAGGCTCTTGGCGCCTGTGCTCGGGCGCAGGGAAGGAGAACGGCAGCAAGCCTGGAGGCTGGCGGCATCTGTCTATCTATCTATCCATCTATCTAGCTATAGCTATCTATCTATCTATCTATCTATTTCGCTCCTCTCTGTCTTTCTGTCTGCCTGGCTGGCTGTCCGTCTGTCTGTAAACTTATCTACCTGTCTATCTGTCTATCTACCTGTCTGTGCGTGTCATGTCTACACAAATGAAGACTCAACTCGCGACGTCTGAGTGGCTTCTTCATTCCAGCACTTTAACTTTGTCACGAACTCTACCAGATAAGTAAAGACTCAAGCAGGAGACATGGACGGCAAGCTGGGGTCGTGGCAACACCGCAAGAAGCTGCTTTGGCGGTGCTGCCACCATCATGGTCTGGAACGACCTGCTAGGCAAGCCATAGGCTAATCCACAAAACCTCGTCACGCTCCTCTACCTGCATCGAAAAGATCCACTGCACTTCAAACAGTGCAGCCACATTACGCCCTCTAAGGCCTCACAGCCTCACAGAGCCAGGTTTTCCAAATTACCCCTGCCCGGAACGACTGGAATCCTAAACTGCTACAAACCCTGTACACCGAAAACGGTCAACGCATTGCCCGAAACCTCCAGGGTCGGAAACCATAGATCTAGCAAGCTAAACACAACCACCAACACCCCAAATACAGCTTCAACGCAGCATTGACACCCTTTTAAACCCTAAACCCAGAACCCTAAACCCAGTATGTTGTAGAAGGCCGTGCAAATCCCCAAACCCCACCCTACTGGCCTGGCCCTCCTCCTCCCCGCTGGCCAGGGGCTTCCAGGGAGGCCAAGGGCCGAGGAGCAGAAACAGCTGAACGGCAGGGCCATGTTTTCAAGAGGGCTTTCGGTTCAGAGTTTCAGCGTTTTGCTTTGGGTGCTGTTTTTTTTCACAACGCGAGAGCAAAGCCCTTTCAGAATTTGGGCCGTTGGGGCTGGTTGGGTTTATTAGAGTCTGGGGTTTCCGTGGTTCAGGTATTCATTTCACGACAACGGCTAGTACCCTTGAGAGTGACATGATACGACTATTTTGTTGGGAGCCGTGGTCTAAGGGGAGCGCGAGAAGGTACCAGGGACGCTACAAAGATCTAGAGGAAGCTCGGGAGTACTGGGTCATGTATCACTGTATTGCCCTTTGACCCCCTAATACGAAGCTTCGCACTAGTTGGAAAAGTACAATAGCTCAAGAAGCCCTGTAAAAGACTTAGAACCGCTTAGATTACATCTTCCAAGCCCTTTACAAAAAAGCTCTTTAAGAGAGTGGCTTCAGCGCAACTCAGCTGGCTTCAAGTTTGCGCTCCAGGGGAGTCCTGACCTCCTTCGGGCGGTTCCGCTCAGGCGTATATAGGGTTGACAGAAGAAGGGGTGCCCTCTCGCACACCTCCCACTCCCAGGAAAGGGCTCAGGGTTTAGGGTTTGGAATTTGGGATTTGGAGGTGTTTTGGTGCTGTGCTTCGGGGATAGGGTTCAGGGCCGGCGGTGGCCAGCCGCAGCCAAAGCGGCAGAAGGTGCCAACACCGACATTCTGCAACATTGTCCCTCCGACTGGCTGCTCACAGCCTATAGATCCCGGAACCCCGAAAGCCTAGCAGCCCAACACCCTAAGCCCTAAACGCTAGAAGCGGTTTTTGGGCGGACTGCAATCGGGACTATGTCGGGTGAAACGAAACAGCAAAGTCACGGGCAGTTCCCACCACCTTCTTATGCCTTCTTGGATTTGCTTATTGTGCTAAACTAGGGCGGTTAGGGCTAGGGTTGAGGGTTTAGGGCTCAGGGCCCCGCACAACAGTCCGCGTCTCGTAGGTTTAAATGCATGCGAACTCGAGATGATATGTCTAAACTTAAACTCTCTCTCTCTCTCTCTCTCTCTCACAACTTCAACTTAAACCCTCAACCCTGAAACCCAAGACAAAGGAAGCCAGTTTCCCCACTGGGCAATCTGCACGCTCTCAAACAAGCCATTGGGAACTGCTCGCGTCACAGCTGGAGGCCCTAAAAGCTACGTGGTTTTCGGTTTAGAGGGTTTAGGGTTTAGTGAATTTAGGGATGCTTAGGCTTTTGGTTAGGGCTTTAAGCTTTGAACTAAAGGCTACTCCTCCCTGCCAGGGTTTTTCACAGGAAGCAGTCACGGATACCTTCCTGTTGCAGAAAGTCCTACTGCGTGTCGTTTCCGGTCACTTAAAACATCACGATTTCAGGCTGTCACTTAGCCACAAGTCCGACCTCAGGCGGTAAAGTTCCGGTAAAGGAAGCTGGTAAGGCTTGGCACCGAGCACGACGACGGCTTCTATCAGCTCGTATAAGGCAACCGAAGTGGGTGTACTTATGATGGTCTCGACTTGTTCGAGAAACCTGGTCGTGCTACTGACACGATTTCAACACAGCACTGATCACATCCACTCCCACTGCGGCGGCAGAGCACAAGGCAATCGTCTGGGGTCCAGACCCTTCAAC